TGTTCAGCATCTTAGCTGTAGAGGGCAGTGTCACTGGCCCTCATATGTGGGATCCAAACTGGGGCCCTCTGGCGTCCCAAGCCAGCTCTTAACCAATGTGCCCCTCGGCTGGCCCTCCCCATTTCTATTTTTGAAGTAAAAATGTTTTCTTTGGGATTCCTAAAAATGTGATGTATACTTTTCCATATTATTAATGTTAAAATAATGCCCATTCTTCTCTGCAAGCTTCATACATTCCAATTCAAGATTTGCCATCCCTCTTCCCTTTTTCCCAGTCTCAACAAAATGAGTAACTACTTATTTATTTCTGACCAGATTGTGTTTAATTATTTTAACATGCCTTAGCTGCTTTCTGATGCTGGGCCATCTTCACTAGTACTTTTTTTTTTTTTTTGGATGCAAATTTAAAGTTATTTGACTCAATGCCTTATTCTCCATTTGATATTATGTTACTCACTAGAGCAATTAGAGCAAAATGCTAATGATTATGTTACCAGAATAGCATAGCATATTTGCTTCAATCTGGATTTTTTAAAACAAATATAGAATATATTGGCTGTTTGGAAGAACAGCAGGTATAAAATTATCACTGTGCATTAGAAAATCTATTCTACAATTTCTGATGTTTTAAAGTTAATGAACATACTCCCACAAAAATGAGAAATTGTTAAACTCAGAGAGTGAGTGTTTTATAGTCCTTGTGATCTCATTCATCAAAATCCATCCTTCAAACAACGAGTCTAACCATTACAAATATAATTCTAATATGATTCCTACAAACATAATTCTAATTTTCTCTACAGCCTTTTCCCAGTTTTTGAAATACAACCCAATACCAACAATTACCAATGTCCAAAGGCATCAGTATTCTGACTAAGGACTCACACAGCAGTATAAATTCCTCTGAACTACTAATCTGACTTTTACTGGCAGATTCGGTTTTTCACTTTTTAAAACTTGTTCGTCATTATTCTTCTAGCCAAGGGTGAAAATATAAGGTAAACTCTTTTATTGGTTATCCTTTTGGTAACAAATTATATAAATTCCGTGTACCTCATAGATTGTAATAGTTCCTCATATAATGTGAGGAGCTGAAAAACAAAGCTGATATTAAGAGGTAAAGTTACCACCAAGTGATTACACTTAAGTACCTGTCCTGAAGTGTAATCTTACTTTGACTTCTGTGTGATAAAAAATTGATTGGATCTCAGTTTCTTCCTCTTAAAACAAAAAGGAGGAGTCCGTAAAGGTAAGGTAGATAATCCACAAGACTTCTTTTGGCTTATAAACTTTGCTTTACACAAATATGTTAAGATGAATGCTTTCCATGAAATGTTATAAAATTATCAGAAACCTGCGACATTTCAAATTAACAGACTTTATCACTAATTGATCCACAGTTAATATATTTCTTTAAATTCAGTGTATTGCTTCATTTTGCTTATTAAATTGTTCAGTATAAGCGAGTTATAATTAACCACATCTAAATTAGAAAGTTAAATAATAGGAAAATGACTTTTAAATGTGCAGCACAGTACCAGTTGTTCTGTTTTTATTAATTGTCATGTGTCTTGTGCCATGTCCTTTATCTGCTTCTGAATTTACAAGGAACACAGCAGGTTGTGAATTTTTAATAGGTTTTCCTCAAGGAAAGGAAAGGTCAGTATTAACATAAAATTCTTCTTAAAGATTTGTGGCACAAATGTTTCACACTAAAGAACAGGTGTTACTGAGGAACTAAAGCCACAATAATCTGACATTTTTTCTATGTTTAACGAAAACATAATGTCTCACATAATAAAATAGCACTAAGTCAAATCAATATAAAAGTTATTTCAAAGTCGAGGCTGTAAATTTATTTGACACATAATCCATAATCTTACTTCTCAGTAACATAAACTACTGATTTTGTTCAATTAAATGTTTAACAAATCCAAGTATCGATACCTAATACTCAAATATAAAAGGGAGGAGTAACAAGAAAGCTACAATTGTTAGGAATAACGCTTGTCTGATAGTTACTTAGTAAATGAGTTGAAATGTGAAATAAAATTCTATCTCACACACAGGAAAAGAGGGAGAGAGACAAAAACAGGGTAAGGGTGGGGAAAGTATGCAAAAGAAGAGGTAACTAAAATAATAAAAAGAAACTTGAAGAGAAGAAGCAGGACACAGACAGGAGACTATAATGAAAGAACGTTCTCCCTTGCTCTCTTTCTGTGACTGTTAGGAAATCATCAACCAACGCACCTGTTATTATTTTAGTTAGCGCTCATCTGCCGCCACTGTCGTCTAAGGCGAGGGAGCCATTCCCGCATCTCGGGTGGTCTTGAAATGTATCCCTTTGCCTTCTAGTAAATATCTGTTGCCGTTTCTTAACTTGTCCTTTACTTTCTTTACTTGTCTCAAATAGTTTATTTATATAGTATTTTGAGAAACATAGGCTAATGTCCAGCCCCCAAACATGGTTTATCTTGGCCCTTTTTTTTTAGTTTTAGTGATCAGTTGTTTCCCCCTGTAAGGAAAAAAAAAAAAAAAAGTACTTTTCTTTTATGTAAGTTCTAATGGTTCAAGAAAAATGTATTATACGTTGGGCTTCTTAAAACCAAAAATTATAAATTCATAAGTTTAATTTGTTTCTCTTTATTATGAGAAGGTAGAAATCTTTTCATTTCAGATTCTCAAAACCACAGTCCAACTTCCAACCCTCATCCCTTTGATTCCTTACCACCATGTTCAACTTTCTAATCCAATAGGAGCTACCATAGTATTTGGCCCAATTACAAGATTTAATTTCCATTCTTTGTTGTATAAATGAAGGTAAAAGTCCTGCTGTGATTTATATTCCAACACTGAGCATTATAAAAATTAAAATCTCACCATACTAGCAAATTTTTTGCATGTCTAATAAGTACAGTAGCAGAATCGGTCTTAATGATTCCCATCATGCCTTGTGTCCTTCTCTACTCCAAATCTATATTCTATATATGTACAGTGTTCTTCATGAGATGTAAAATTTGTAAATGCACAAAATTCTGCAGGTTTAAACCACTTCTCATTCTTGATTGAGTAGTTTAAGTATTGCATGCTTCAGGAAACCCTCACGCATTTCTGTGGGCTAGTTTAGGGGCTGTCCTGTGAATTTCCATAGTGTTTGAAATCCGTCGCACTAAAATGCAATAGTTAGTTTACTTTTAGAAGTATCTGATTCTTATGAGAGTAAACAAATATTTTTCAATTAAAATTGTTGGATGAATAGACAATAAACAGCATAACTGCATCTACTGCAAACCGCAAAGATATCTGATCAAATGCTTGATAATATCAATAATCTTTTCTTGAATTATTTTGATTCCTAGACAGAACAAGAAATTTATGTCTGCCATTTGGAAAATTACAAGTGTTGCACATTTATATAATTGCAAAGTTTCCCGGCAACTATGTGCAATTTCAATTACTAAAAAGCATCAATCGTCTGACTTTTTGAGAGTGGTTCCCTGGACAACACAGCCATACGTTACTTCTGAGAGCTTTTTAGTTAAAAGCAGATGTTTCTTGAGTTTCTCAACCTTATTTTTTTGTTTATGAGTGGCTAAAAATGCAATAAACACTATTTGTTACCTGGCTTCTTTATTTTTTTCTCCAAAGTACATATCGATTTGGGGTTTTCTTTATCCATTATGTTTTTAATAATAAGTTATTTGTCCAGAAATCAAAACATGGAGTTTGATCCAAATTTGATGCCTAAATGCTAATTACTGCAAACCATTAAACAAACAGTAGCCTGCTTATGTAGACCCAATAACACCAATACAATATATCAGGCGTATATGTGCTTTAAAATATTTTTTAATTTAAACAGTTTTGATGTCCATGCAAAAATATTATATTTTCACAGTTAAGTTTATTGGCATAAGCTCCCATAAAGAAAACTTTCAAATAGAGAAACAATATTTTACTTTACATAAAAAATAATCACTTCAATATTTTACGTGTAATTAGGTGAAAATGTGTATCAATGTAACTAATCAAAAGAGCATAAATTAAACCTAGAGATAAATATCTCTAATTTTTTGCATATTGAAAAACATTGTCTCCAATTTTTTAAATCCTAGGTTATATATAGGTCAATGTGCCTATTCTGATTTATGACTGCATTTTATATATAAATATTAAAAAGGAAACATGTATGTGATATCTAAATTATTATAATGCTTTATAGAAATTTAGAAAATCTATACATTGTTTTTTTAATTTCTTATTGATAAAAATCAAAATAAATTTTAAAAATAATCTTATTGCAAATAATCAAGCTGATCTTAGCATAGAAAATGTTTATTCGTTGGGTGGTACAATTAAAGAGGAACTTATAATCTTATGCTTTACAAAGCCATGCTCTGTCCCTCCTATGGCTAAGACCCCCCTTCAGGGTAAGAATTTCATGGGAAGCAGGGGACAGTCATACCTGGACCCCTCACATCCATTTCCAGACCATACTCAAGGTACTTGGGGCCCATTATCTCCTACTCAAACACCCTTGAATTTGCTCCTGGGTCCTAGGAAATTCTCTTTTTCAGGTCCGTCACCAGAAGGCCAGGCTCACCATGCTGTTACATGCACCCCTAACTCTTAAGAGTTGGCCTGGTGCACATCTGTAAAAGACAACATAGATGGAATTTGTCCATAACACATGGGCTCCTCATCTATCATTTGCGTTGAGATAGAGTGTGCATTTGGGCTGAGATGTCCACATGAATGAAAGCAAAGCCCTTTGACGTGATGACTTGATACTGGAAGGTTAGCGTGTGGCGCTCCGCAATGGGGCAGGAAACAGGCTTGCCTTGCCCTGCCTGTGTCTGCACAGAACTTGTTGTCTGAGGTTGTTAAGAACATAGCTTGGACAATGTAGGAGGCTAAATACAACATTTTATTTTGTAGTTCATTAACTATATAACAAGTGTTATATAGACATCTAGTTGTACACTGCCTCTGAGCTCCACAAGCATTTGTAGGGCAGTTGCTGTCTTTTGTATGAACCCCAAATGATACATGGTGTTTCTAACACAGGAGCTGTGTTTTATACAACTTTGCCTGTCTTACAGTTCTTAACATATCACCGGTTCCCCAAATGAAAATGCAATAATTAATAATACATTTATAAGAAATGAATTTCCAGCATGATATGAGAGTAAAAGAATTTTCCATTCACAGAAAGAGATGTGAGAAGCAATGTTTACAGCAGCACATCAAGACTGATGACTTGTGTCTTGGTCAGGAGTTATTTGCCTATGAAAATGGCTGTTTACCAAGCAAAGCAAAGAGGGGAAATGTGTGGTTTATTTTTATTACTTTTTTTTTTCTATTTAGAATAAAAATCACCCTGGTATATGAAAGGCTAGCCTTGTTGTTTAAAGTATATACTATATGAGTGTGACCGTATTTATTCAACTCTCATTTCAAGAACTAAGGTAACTGACCTCCTTTATTCAGGGGTGGAACGTGAGAGACCTTCGTTGAATTCTTTCAGCTTTATGTACCTTGAAGACATTATCCTGGATATTCTCTTTTTCTATTCCCCCTAGCTTCATTCAGACCAAGATAAAGGAGACGGATCACTCAAATATATTTTATCTGGAGATGGAGCTGGCACTCTTTTTATCATCGACGAAAAAACAGGTGACATTCATGCCACGAGAAGAATTGACAGGGAAGAAAAGGCCTTTTATACTCTACGCGCACAAGCTATTAACAGAAGAACTTTGAGGCCAGTAGAACCCGAGTCTGAGTTTGTGATCAAAATCCACGATATCAATGACAATGAGCCAACATTCCCAGAGGAAATTTATACAGCTAGTGTTCCAGAAATGTCCGTTGTAGGTAAGTTTATTTACAGCATTTATGATAGTATTTAAAAAGTATTTCTTTAACAATCAAGAAATTCTTGAAACCTTATGATTAATTAATTGAAAACACCTTTAATTCCCTACTCAGAATACATATTTAATTTTCTCATTTAGGATATGAGTTCAAAATGAAAGAATGCATTATTCACGTCCTGTGGATCTGTAAATTTTACAATACAAATAAGTAGACAATTTCCTCAAAAATCCAAAAAAATAACCCATTGAACTTCAGTAGGGAACTATGAAAAAAAAAATCACATGGATTTGGATAATAGCTGTATAAAATTCTGATCCCAAATACATTATAAGTACATTTAGAACATCGTAGGTATAATATAGAGTCTTTACAAATATACTCTAGTCATTTGCCTAGAGTTATTCTGGATTATTGTGATAATATGAATGATGGCATTGATAAGATTATCCAATTATTTCATATTAATTATTTTTTAAAAGCTTTCATTATAACCATTATATATAAAACTCTGTTGTTATAAATCTTATTCAAATAAACCAGTTGAAAATTCAAATGCAAATATAAAATTACACTTAGTTCATGAAACCTGTAAGACCAAAGACAAGAACATACTAGAAGTATAAAATTCAAGAAAATAAAATTTTCATCATAAATCAGTAGAAATTATATTTGTAGGGAAAGAAATTTAAGATATTATTTTTATTAAATAGATAATTACAGAACTAAACATCAAAAATAATGGTAACATTTTCAAGATATATATTTGGACTTAGTAGAATAGATTTATTTCTCAAATGTGGGAGAAGTTGTATAAACCCATGAAACAATTGTGATGCTTTTTTTTTCCCTCTTGTAACAGTTGTTATAGCAAATTTTCAACTCTGCATTTCTCAAAAGCATTGTTCTGGAATTATTATTTAATATTTACTTCACTAGGTCCCAAGGACTTTTCACAACTGCCTTCTTATAAAGCCCTTTTAAATATCTTGAACTTTATTAAATAGCTTTTAATAGTTCATGGAACATGGGTTCATCTTGGAATGTTTCTAAATTTAAATTTTAATCTATTCATAAAATTGTATTCTAGAGCAGGTGTTAATTATTTTTATAGTTAATTAGTGGAGAGAGGGAAGAAGAGCATCCTTACTCCTTTGTGATTAGATGTGACCTTTACATGAAACAGATCAATTATGGGAAAATAAATTTCAGTGTAAAACCTGAGCATTTGTAAATTGAGTACATTTATTATAAGCTGATATGCTGTAACATTATCTATTATGCATAAAAATACACCTGTGTGCTAAATAAATATGCAGTTGAATTCAGCACGTACCTGTAATGACACCATATATATATAAATATATAATCATATAAATATATATATATATATATATATATATATACATATATATATATTTATATGCTTTTCACCTAAATGATATATAAATGTTTAAGAGGTCATTACTAAAGCCAAAAATCATTCAAGTCTTCCATGAAAAACCAGTGCTTTTGCTCCTCCTTCTGGTGCTGTGCAGAACTAAGCTGAATTTGGATACTTCAGGTACTTCTGTGGTGCAAGTCACAGCTACAGATGCCGATGACCCTTCCTACGGGAACAGCGCCAGAGTCATTTACAGCATCCTGCAAGGACAGCCGTATTTCTCTGTGGAGCCCGAAACAGGTCAGGAACCATAAAATGTTTTGTTAATTTAACAGTCTTCATGATCTTTGTAAGTCATAGAAAGGTGGGAAAATAAGACTACAACCTTCGTGATAATACTGCCTGAAGAGTGATGACACCACACTTAAGATTGATTGCAGAGCTCAACGCTGAATGATTGAGTCCGCTCATGGAAATATACCTGTTTTTATGATTTTACATATAGGTTTATGTTGCTATACAGCACATATCCTTCGGAAAATAGAATAACACCATTCATTGTAAAATATTTACGTCGAATCGCTTTTACAACTTCTAGACAGTAAAAATTAATAGCAAAACACGTATTGTATCTTTCAAAAGCCACTAATGTAGATATATAATGTGTGGACTTAATCAACTATTAATTGAAATTTTTAATGAAGATAACAAATGTTTTGATATTTTCTTCAAGGTATCATTAGGACTGCTTTACCCAACATGAACAGAGAGACCAGGGAGCAGTATCAAGTGGTTATCCAGGCCAAAGACATGGGCGGCCAGATGGGGGGGTTATCGGGGACCACCATGGTGAACATCACACTGACGGACGTCAATGACAACCCACCTCGCTTCCCCCAGAGTAAGCTGCCTTTTAATGGTCTTTCTGCAGGGCAAAATCTTTAGAGTAAAAAAAAATAAGAGAAAAGAAAAATAAAGAAAAGGCGTCATTGAATGGAAAACACAATGAAAAATGTGCTAGAAAGATGAAAAATGAAAGTGTAAATGCTGATGAATTCACTGTTAATTGAAATATTAAAGAATTAAATATTAGGCTTTCGGAAAAGTCATGATGTATTTTTTCTGTTTGTCGTTGCAAAAATGTGTCATGACTTTTCCAACAACGCAATATTTCAGACAGATTTCATTCAGAGACAGGAAGATCTATGATCACAAAATCTCTGCATGTATTCTGCATCTATGATTATAATCTAAAAGTATGTTTTCCAGTTAGCAAAAGAAAATAATGTTTTATGGGAAAACAAAGTAAGTCATAATTCTGCAACGAATGTGTTTATTTCCACTTAGAATTTAATAAGGAGGATCCTAACTTGAGGGTAAATTTTTTTCAATAAAAAAATCTAATTTCACATGTTAGAAAGGGCTACATAGGGAGAACTTGACAAACTAATCAGACTTGCATTTGATATTACCGTGTCAGATTTGTGTTTAATATCTGTTTGGAATGACAATTATACTGCAATATTTTGTATTCCTGCTCTTTTTATAGGTCTATTTTGTTTTATAGAATTAACCTTCAAATTCTCAAAATAGGTCAAGAATAGGTTAAGAACCATTAGCTTCTGACTACATAATCCATGTATTTATTCTCTTAGGCAAATTTAGTAAACATACAGCTAGAGAGGATGCTTTTAGGTCTCAGTGGACACTTCAAAGATTTAGCCATTTCCTGCTAATCTATATGAGCCTATAGTTCAAGATGGAATTTCATGTTGTGAAATTTCATGAATGTAGCATAAAATGTCACTCACATAATCTATGTACTTAATTTTTAGCATTTGCTGTGTATTAACTTCTGAGTTGATCTCCCTATTTTAGAGGTGTTTGTGTGTGTGTGTGTGTGTGTGTGTGTGTGTGTGTGTGTGGAGAGAGAGAGAGAGAGAGAGGGAGAGAGAGAGAGAGAGGGAGAGAGAGAGAGAGAGAGAGTTTACCATTAAGTACCTTTGTGATAAAGTATTTCAATATAGCTTTTGGTGATATTTATATCTTATACTAAAGACTATTACACAGAAAGAATTATGGTATGAGAATTCACTGTATTATTTTGACTCTTTAAAAGCATTTTACCTCTTTTCTGTGCTGTTTTTTATCTAACTTTGATTATTGATAGTGCATGATTTGAATTGACTTGTTAAAATCATATGGGTATGGAAATATTATGAAATTCAAATAGAATTTTCTTGAGCAGACTAATCATGTGTTTATATATTTGTGATGGTTCTTTTGTGAGATGTTTCAGGTGCATGACCCTCATGTCTGCTATTGTGCTGTTTGGCCCAAAACACAGAGAGCTTTTCTCTGTGTGTATGTGTTTTGCTTATGTTATTTCAAGTAACCAGATTTCAGTTCCAGGTTACATTTAACACTGGCAGGGAAAAGGAAACCAGTAATAATCCTTTATAATTCTTTCAGAACAAAGACGTGGCTTGTTACACTGAAACTGAAATCTCACATTTTATATGTATTTCTGACCGTTTTTTTTTTAGTATGAGACTGTTGCCATAAGAATGAACATGCAAATCTAGGAAGACAAAAAAACACAACCATTTTCATAATCTACCATGAGCAAAAATATTTCTGAAAAATCATTTTATCAATAACTGACCAGTACAGTATTTTAACTGCTCAGGAACATATATAAAGGAACATATATAACTAAAAGTCAGTCCATTTAAAAATGGTGCATTCAATAAGCAAATCAATCAATTCTGATTAATGGAAAAATAGAGATTTGAAAAATAACAATGCCTGATGAAAATTTGTTCTATTATTTCTTTAATCTAACACCTTTATTAATTCATTTGTTAATTATTTCCTTTCCTTTTGTTAAGTCAGAATTTGTGATTGAGATTTGGTAGGCACATTATATAAGGCCTGAAATGATGATGATGATGATGATGATGAAAATAATAATAATAATAATAATAATAATAATAATAATAATAACAATATACATAATTTATGTTTTCTAAATGGCATTTTTATTGGACTTGGTGCCAAGTTATTTATTGACATACTTTATTTAATCCTAGCAACTTATTTAGATTGATATTCTAACCTCCATTCTATAAATGAGCAAACAAAGGCCACCTTGCAAGTAATGACAGAGGTGGGTTCCCATCCACATCCAACCCCAGATGTATCAGACAAGACATTTAGAGAAATTTTAGAGCATCCTGTATCTTGTCTCCTTAGTTTTTAATTACAGATGGAAACATAATTTATGGATTTTTATTTTCTCAATTATCTTTTCTTCTGTGAATTTTGCAACCATATCTTACTATTGGGAACACTCAGTCATGGCAATTAGAATGCTGCTTGATAACCTAAGTCATGTAACAGCTGGAAAACTAATTTTAAATTTTTTAATATCATTGCATTAAATAGGCAAGATGTGGAGAGAGTTCCACAGTTTGTGAGCCTTTCATATTGAATAACATTGAAATCTCACAACTAGCCTGTGTAGACCCATTGCTATTATTATTATGCCCAATGTACAGAAGAAGTAAAGAAGGTTCAGAGTGGAAATGATAGAGAAAAAGTAGTTGTGCCTAATAGAAATATAATGCAAACCAAAAACTTATGCCATATATGTAATTTTAAAGTTTCCACCAGCCATATTTAAAAAATTAATAGAAGCAGGGGCACTTATTTAATCATATATTTTATTTAACCCAATGCGATCTTTTAAACATAGCAATATAAAACTTATTCAGATAGGTTACTCTTTTTTTTTTTCATTAATTTTTTGAAATGCTCACTTACATCAAGTATGTTCCAGTTACATCAAGTCTCATTTCCAGTCAGTAGCTACATGAGGGTTGGTGGCTTGGCCTAGTGGCTGTCAAATGGGACAGCTTAGGAGAAGACTGAATTCATCCTGCATGAATCTCGATGTCGTCGGGATTGGTAGCTTTTTCACCTTGGCCAATTAAACTGACCTCTCTATTTTTCAGTGCCATTCAGTAAATGGCTGGGTCTATTTCATCTTGAGATGTTCTTATGAAATATCACCTCTTGAATGAGGCGTTTCCTTATCCTAGCCCCGTCACACACATTTCTTTTCTTTATCCAAAACTGAACCAATACATTGCATGCATACAGTGCTTCTATTTAGGTATGATCTGCCTTCCCTGCTTTAATGAAAAAGGCCACAGGAACAAAAAAGTAGTGGTTTTTTTGTTCCTGTGCATATTCCATGGAGTGGTACAAATGAAATAATTTAATGTCTGTGAAGTATTTGACTCAGTGGCTGTCACTTGTGTTTTTGTGTGCTCAATAATGTCGATTTGTGCAAGTGCTGCTCTATTATTATTCTTATTATTCTTATTGTTAAATATTATAAAAGTAGGGTCAGAACATCCATGCAGATTGACTATTCCAAATTCACCATTTCCCAATATGCTGTATCTGTGGAGGATACAAATCTCAGCCATGTGGAAGGCACAGGGGCACATGAAAACGCAGACGCCTTCTTTCATCGCTTAGCTTAGTTTATTGCATGGCTCTATAGCAGTCGTTCTGTCAGGGAGTTTTGGCCCCAGAGAATATTTCACAAGTTCGTGAGGCATTTTTATTTGTCTGAATTGCTGGGTACTACGGGCACTGCTGAGTGTAAGCCAGGGATGCTGCTCAATAAACATCCTGGCAAGTCACATGACAAAGAATTCCTGGGTCTAAAACATCAACAGTGCCGAGGCTGAGAAATTGTGATATGTTCTATGAGGCTCTGTACTAGTGAAATCGTATATTCACTCATCTAAAAACATTTATTGAGAACACTCTTGCACCAAACACTATTTTAGAAACTAGATATATGAATTTTGCCCCCCCCCCAAAAAAAAATACACTACTTTTTTGTTCCTGTGGCCTTTTTCATTAAAGCAGGGAAGGCAGATCATACCTAAATAGAAGCACTGTATGCATGCAATGTATTGGTTCAGTTTTGGATAAAGAAAAGAAATGTGTGTGACGGGGCTAGGATAAGGAAACACCTCATTCAAGAGGTGATATTTCATAAGAACACCTCAAGATGAAATAGACACAGCCATGCACAGAGATGGGGAAAATCCTCTAAGCAGAGGGAATAACATGTGAGAAATCCTGAGGGTAGAAATGGATGATGTATGTCAAGATCTAAAGACCAGTGTGGCTGGATTATACCAAGCAACAAGGAGGCTGGTGGGAGATTAGATCAGAGAGCCCTACACTCACAGCAACACTGACAGGAGTAAATTTTCAGTGGTGTTAAGCAACACATAACTGAGTGCTGGATCTAAGTGATCGTTATGATCTTGTGGTTTCAGAGGTATATACATATGTGAATATTAATGTAACATGCACCATAATGATTCTAAAAGAAAGGCAATGGATTAGATGGTTGAGCTATACCTGAAAACTGAGTTCCAAAAGTATTTTCTGCTAGACGTAAATTGTATTTTTCACTCGGAAAGGTATCGCTGTTGAAATTATTTCAGAATCCTGGGTTATTTAAAGTGCTTTAATTTAATTTTAAAAGCAATAAGTGAAGGAAAAAATCTATTGCTTACCTTCCAGGAACAGTATTTACCTTGCAGCACTGTATTTCCAATTAAGCACATGAAGATTAATAAGGCTGGGTTTCTGATTATGAATGGTTTATTGTCTAGAAGGATATTTCAATATGAAATGATACGTGTGGTAACGAAACTGTGCAGAGTGCAGTGGGCGTACAGAGGAGAACACTGATCCAAAATGGGGAGGGGCGAGGAGTGATGCATCCTTTACAGCGGAAGCTAGTTTTGGAGAACCTATTGCTTAACCTAAGGTCTTTCTTAAAACTACTACTTAAACCTACTGTAA